TTTTGAAAAAGAATACTTAAATCTTTCCAACGAAACTCCATATTTATAATTTCTAATAATAGTTGGAGCAGGTTTATAATAGAAGTTGTTTGACCTTGTTTTCGCAACTTGGTCATGTTGGTAGGAAGGCTTAAAGCAACGCACCTAGTCCGGATTCCATAGTATGCATCATCATTTCCAGAGTAGGACTTGTCCCTTTGACGAGTTTGTAATATGGTGCTTCGAATGGCAAGACTCACTGACGATGCCGGCGAAACGTCTGGGAATGTACCACGTCCACAGTCCTACTCTGGAAATGATGATGCATACCATGGACTCCGGACTAGGTGCATTCCTCTAAGTCTTCCTACCAATATGAGCGAGTTGCGAAAACAAGGTCAAACAACTTGTATACAACGAAAGCAGACTGTGACCACACAAAAGTCTTTATACCTTCGATTAAACAGTACCTTTACGTTGGTGACAAATGGCCCTCTTGAAGGAGCTCATCAATTGGGCGGCAACGTCTGACCGTAAAGGTGCAGCCAACTTTGAGTCATTTTGTTCTGAAGCGGTCAAAGTCCCTTCACAGACTGCAGACTGACATTGTTGCAGGCCACTTCTCCAGTAATTCACAGCCACACAACAACTCAACTCCCCTTTGATGTGTTTTAACCGTCCAATTCCCATGCGGATGCGTTGTGAAACGACCACATGTACCTATTCAAGAAATGATCAGACCTCGATGTGCTCATCACTTATCGAGTGAGCAGGATGGTTTCGATTTATCGATTACTACGAAAGGACATTCAGTGCTCGTCTGGGCTACGTTCCCTCTGCCTCTCCTTCCTTGTCCTTCGTTTGTTCTTGCTCTCTCTCTCCTTCTGAGTCAATCCCCTCGCTCATCCGGGCCGCTTGTACGACTGCAATGGTTGACGGACTCCATGCCATTCTTCTGCTTGCTGCAATCGTTATGCCGCTGCCGACAACGATGACGACTATGATGCTACTACTGCTGCTGATGATAATGTTGATGTTTTTGTTGCTGTTTTAGAGGTTGTAGTCGTTAGGCTTTATTGTTCATTCCACTTTCGCCCAGGTCCCTCGGTCTCTCCGCTTAGCGAGACACATTGAATCCCCCTGATTGTGCGTGAATGTATGGTATAAGGAGGACATGTGTTGGAGGGCACCTGCCAGAACGTTGGCCAGCCATTTTACTTCTTTTAGGCAGTCCAGCTTCTCACATTCTTTTCGAGGCCTCCGTTCATTCGTAAACACTTATCCAGTAGCTAGACTGACGAAGCTGATGATGATGATGATGACGAGATTGCGTGGTGTCCGGAGTTCCAAATGACACTGTAACTGCCCTTCGTCGCTTCGACGAAGCGAGGGGTATGATCGGCTTAGTTTTGGAGGGCGACTTGTCCTTTCGTGCTAGCCGGATACCCTTTCCTACCATTCGGTGAGTGAAAGACTTGCGTTGGCAAGGCAACCAGCCCTCCTACTGGCCTCATACTAGCGTCACCCGTTCAAGCCAACTTGGTAGTCCATACGGTCGTCTCCAACATCACGACACTGGTAGCCGTTCTCCCTCCGCCGCAGGCCCACCTTGGCCCGGCTTTAGGCCAACGGAATGACTAGATTGAACCCTTTCAGGGCTCGGGCTACCCTCCCGTCATGTTTGCTTTGCCACGTCTCCGTCAGTGGGGCGGGCTAATGCCGAGAGTAAGTGAAATCAGTCCTCTTGTGTCCAACGCAAAGCAAGATGAATTTTAGACGAAAAGGATTTATTCTGCTCATGTGGTCGCTTTTATGTTGGAGAGACTTGCCGTCCCCTTCGACAAAGGTGAACCGAGCCCTAAAGCGATCGTATAGGCTGTTGGGTGGAAAAATCAGAGCTAGCAGAGCTCGCAGCAGAAAGTGGACATGAGATTGGTCTCAACCTTATTGTTTTGTGGATTTTGGTATGTCTGCAGCTGTTGAATGTCAGGAATACCAGCAAAAAGTTGAGTAAGAACCGCTTCTGCCTAAATTATAAACTCACTTTTCTATCCATCTTGATCCACTCTTTCTCTCTTACGCCAAGACAAAAAGCTCATTAATTTACCTAGACATGTGCTCGACATAATGCAATCGGAGGGAAGAATAAAGTATGAAGAAAAGGGGCGGTGGTGGTCATTAAACTTTGATGACTGGGAAAGGAAGTTACGTCATGTTCTAATTACTGCTGGTTTCGTACATATACAACCAAATAAAGGCACATAAACACGCACGTGCAGACATGCGCGCATGCCTCTAGGTTGATATATAAAACGAGTTGGCTAAATTGCTTAACCCCTCATAACAAAGCATACTTTAAGGCAATATATATAGTATTCAAGGTTAGGTAATTGAATTTTCTTGACTCATTACCTTGACTATAGTTATCAGAATGACACCTTGCTCTGATAATGTCGTGATATGACGGACGAAAACTTAGCACGTTTTCACCGGAATCGGAGGAGATTACTTTGGAACCAACTTCAATCGGAATGGCCAGTAAAGCCAATCGACAGCTGGTCAAGAGGATCAACCTTTGGAACTCTCCAAAACACACATTGACTATGAACGGAAGTGAGCCGAACAATGGTATGCCAACAAAGTCCTCGAATCGCAACTTTTCCCTCCATACATTAGTTTATCAATGCCAATTTGTAAAGTAAACCAAACAACACGTCTTCATCCCCCTTAGGCATACGTTCCACAGACCTGTATGAGCAGCATCGCCACAATGAGAACCTGATGCGCGGGCAACCCATTCAGCTGCCCGCCGACTACTCCCTCCAGCATCAGCTTGCCTACCACGGCGCATACGGCCAACTGCATCTGTCCGACGGCCTCGACGTCAGTCAGTATCCGAGCTACCAGTCCGATCTTTCGTCCTTTCCTCCAGAAGCGGACGAGCAGCAGTCCCATCCGCAACATCAACAGATACAGAATCAGCAACACCACCAACAGCAACCTCATCAGCATCAGCATCATCAGCTTCAGCCGCACCAGCAGCAGCATCAGCACCAGCACCAACAGCATTCCTCATCCGTCCCCGGCATGATGCTCGTCGACACGGTGATGCAACTCGCCTACCAATCGGACGAGGCGGCCATGTCTGGGCTCTACGATCCCTCAGCCTCGCAACTATTTCCCGGCTACACAGAAGTCAGCTTGTGTCCCGGTTTGATACCCGTGGAGACAGACACAGACACCACGAACGCGGTCGTGACTGCAGTCACAACCGCCTCGGCCAATGGCGCTGTTGCAGTCAGTCCCTGCTGTCAAGGCAACTCAGGCGATGCCACGACGACCGGTGCCACGACCTTCATGGGCCTGGTAGAACAACCGGACGGTACCGGCAAGCGATCTCTGCCCTACCTGGACGAGACCGGCTCTGGCTTGGATCACCTGTCGGGCTCGCAAGATCACCTCAGCCTGGTCGGCTTCGCGCCGGGCTACCTGACCTATCAGCAGCCCTTCTCGACCGGCGACCAGCCCCAGCCTCACTATGCTGGTCACCATGGCAGCGGGATGGGTCTGTTGGGCGTCGAGGCCAGTCACGGAGGT